CTTATGTCAGCGCCCAAAGAACAATTCCAATAAATCATTCCAACTTCTGACCTCCCCCGTTATCTGCATATAAGAAGCACCACTTTTTCCTGATTTTTTTTAAGTGTAAATTTCCATTTCACATTTAATGTTTTAACACCCACACCTGTTGCTGACATAAATGAATTCATGCTCTCTTTCTCTTCCAGTCTATGCAACAGGGTTGCTAACAATAACAAGGCAGAAAAGACGATGCTGTTTCTGGATCAGGAGGAAGCACTGTCCATGTTTCATCCCATGAAAGTCTACTGTCATGGCAAATGCTACAGTAGATACCAAAGTATGTTAAAATTGATAAAGGCATCAAGTTAAAAAAAGTAAATAGTAAGGCCAACACCCTTGACATTTCCGTTACTCTTTAACTATAAGAACAATATGAGGATGAAAGAGATGGAATCTCCAAAGCCTCAACAAAGATAGTTACTACTACGGAGCACCAGTTGTTGATTTGGGAAAACAAAATGTTACTGACAAAGGAAAATTATTGGATTTCAAACTTTGGTGTCGTGTGAAAAAAGATAATATTACCCTTTCTATGAACTGATAAACATGCAATTCAAACCCAGTAAGAGTTTTGTGTATACCCTCTTGTTGTCTCCCTATCATTGTTATTCTACCTCTACTTTCCCATCTGAATTTTATCTATTCGTATCTATCTGTTCCTTTGCCAACTGTAATACTTCTGTTGCTATTCTTTGGTATGATAGGCATTCTTGATAGTCATGGTACCCGATATTCAAGCTTTGCACTTTCAGTTAAACTTTCTTCATATACATGACCAGAATTGAACACAGCAGTCCAAATAGCATAAATATTTCCACAATGAAGAAAACTTTATGTACTCTTCAGTTGCATTTCCTTTTTTCATAGATTCCTTCTACTGGTTTTTCTGTACTAACAAGGTACAGAGTTTTTTTTCCCCTCTTCTTCAACTTTCTAACATTAACTTTCTTCAAACACGACTTATCCATTCACGTTATATACTACTAAATATCCTATTTGTGTTGCTTCTTAGAGTCATCCAAATAGTTCTGTAGAATGGTCCATCATGTCCCATATGATAATGTTCCCTTTGATGTCACTTTGAATGATCTGATAATTTAAACTATCATGCTCCTGCTGTTACACTCCTTTATCCAAAGGCTGATCTTTAAAGAATTCCAGCAGTAACTTTATGATGACCTAGTTGTCACATACAGTACTTTTCTTCTTAAAATCGCCATACTATTCATCTTTTTTTTCCATCTTCACTGATTATTTCCTGTGTGACACCAGATAAACTGCTTTATTGAAATTCTGGTAGAATAGATCTGTTATGTGTCTTTCTTTTATCTAGAAAAAAAACTACCCCTTTTATTAGTTGCCTCATGTTTAGGAAGCCACTTAAGGAAAGGACTATTGTTTGCGTTCCTGACTGAAGGACAGTATCTACTGTATCTTGTTACTGTGGGAAATCTGAGTGTAATAAGCATTCATGCTTAGAGAGGAAAATGTTCCATTAAGCCCTCATGGGTGAAACAGTACTCGGACCTCAAAATATGATAATGTAACCTGATTATATAAAAGAACCCTGTCAAGAAGACTAAGTTTAAAAACAACAACAACAACAAAAATTATTCAGTTATTTCATTTTCTGAATTTCTAGCAAATTCAGTAGGGTTCTATGGTTCCAATAATATAAAGTTTTTCCAGACTGGATTATAATGCACATGTTGACATAATCCTTTTCAGGTTTTAGGAAAGATTTTTGTATAATACAGCACTCTCAGTTTAAATTTAAAAACATATTTCAATGAAATAACATTCAGTTTTGTTTGCCCTGTTTTGCCAAATTCAAATAGTATTGCTTTCCATTTGTTTGAGCAGCAAAAAAATTGATAATTTACTTGCAAAGACTATACAAGTGAGCTTCAAAAATATAAGTCAGTATAAAAAGGCTCAATATATTAAGAACTAATAAGTTACTTACAAATTAATCATCTCAGAGCCTAAGGAGATCAGAATCTAAAAGTTTTTAATTTTTATTTCCACCATAAGCTTATAGAAAACACAGTTTTCATCCAAATTTATGGTAAAATTTATCATTTTTTCTGCTTAAAAGGGCTTTAACTGGAAAACCAATGAAGCAGACCACAGAGGTATGGAAGATCACAAATGGAATAGTTTCCAGCATTAAAAAAAAAAAAAAAAAAAAGGGATTGTATTTTTTCAAGTATTTAATAAGCTCACATTTGGGGTATTTGGCATACAGTACCCCTTTTACGTAAATTGTCCAAAGCAGTGTTGGAGATACACACATAGAATAGTTTCTAAGTCTCTCATTTTAAAGATAGTCTAACCCTGCTGCATTTTATATATTTACTTAATTCAGTCCAGAAGAAAAGAAATATAAAGAATAACCATGAAAAGATGCCTCAGAACTTCCATAACTAAAGTATTATCTCCTTTGTTGAATGTTAAAGCCAACATCTTGTTTCTTATTGAGACATCCATTTCTAATATCATTACGATCTCTTTTTTTAAAAAGTAAATCCGTAACAGTTTGCCTATTTCAAAGTAAAAAGCTCAGAAGAGGAATGCAGCACATGTCAGTTGTGTGGAACAGCAGTGTGGTAAGAATAGCACCAGAGAGTTGAAAGTTTTGGTCCTTACATATGTTTTTAAGTTTCAGTTCTTGGCATATGGGATATTTTTTAAAGATGGTTATTCGGATTAAAAAAAGTAGAAATTGGTAGTATATTTGCTATTTGCTTCAGTGAGACCACTGCTTTTCAGTTTTTAGTGGTGTCCACTCCACCTTTCCGAGACACAGATAACATATCTTTTAATTTAAAAGTGTTCTATATGTCATGCAAAATTCAGTTGAGCATTTAGTAACTGAGAAGCATTAAATACATTCTCAGCTGTGCAAAAGAAACACACATGGAATATATATATACATAATCATATGCAGCTCTTCTTAATTTGAGATCTATATTTGCAGGGTTATTTGTCTAGATCTTGTCTCTGCTAGTTTGCAGCATGGCTCATACACTATTGAAACCAGATTCTTTTAAAGTAACAGGGTTATTAAAGCAGCTTTGTCCATTTGATCTACTCTGGAACATTTCAATGCCACTGTGACTTAGTAAGAGAAAGAAATTACAATTAAGCTTCAGTGGTTTGCAGATGATTTCACAACATAAAACAAACTCCTAATGTCATAGATGAGAAGTAGATCATCTGAATATCTGATACCATTAATTAAATAATCTAATATTAATAATGAATGTATCCAATAAAGCCTATTTAATCCAGAGTTACTCTGCAAATAGGACACAACTGTAATATCACAAACTTATAAAATTAGTTAACATTTCTAAAGCCTGTAGTTTAATTAATTTGAGATTCAATTAAAAAAAAGAAATCTGCATATTGTCATAATGATGGGATTATGGGTACTCTGTCAGGCCTCCTGCTGCTACAGAAAGGTACATAATCTCCTAGGTCTTGTAACATAGTTTTTTCAGGGTTAAATTAAGCTCATTATTTGACTTTTATATTCAGTGACTTTTATAGTCAATGGAAAGAGTCTGACAATCCCAGAAATCAATTTGGCCTACTTAGCTCAACCCTGTACCTTAGGTGTGATAAGCACAATGTCGTATAAAGGATTTTTGAGAGTTTTTCCAACTGTCTAATCAAAATTGAATGATTTGCAACTGGAAGAAATGGGTTGGGCAAAATTTAGTGTGTTGTTGAATTATACAATAACATAGTCTACAATGAAACCAAATAGCCTTGATATGTTATTTTTTTCCCTATATATATAATACTAATTATTATTAACTATTTTTTAATGTCTTCAACATTTACTCTCTCATTCCATCCCACATCTGCATCTGTTTCTCATCCTTCTTTCTTGTTCAGTAGGAATAAAGTATGAGGAAAATAATATTCCAGAAATTTGCCTTACTCCATTGCTCCCACTATTCCCAAGGGTTTCTTTACTGACTGCCCTTTATTTATGTTCAGTTGTCTACAGTGGAATTCATCTTCTCCTCTTAAATATCAAAAACACAGAAGTCAGAATCTGAGACAGAATGGGCACTTGGAGAACACAATTCATGCTGTCCTAACATAAATGTCTAAAATAAGTAAGACAAATTATATCCTTAAAGTACATATTTCTTCCATTGACCATAAGGTCAGCCTAGTACAATTGTCTCAGTTGGGGATGTCTATACAAAAATATCTGAAGTTAGGTGTGATGGATTCTTCCCCCACCTCTAAATTATTACAGTTCATACCATATTCTTTTTAGCAATAGCTAAAAGCAAATACTTAAAAAAAAAGAAGCAACAAGTAATACATAATAACACATTACTAGAAAATGAATTTTAATAAGTACCACATTAAAATTATAAAAAGTGAAAGTTATAAAAGAGAAACTTAGAATCTGAACACAATTAGAATTATTGTAGTCTGACTGTTTCAATGAGAATCAAATTTCTGTTTACTTGCTGTGTGAATATAGTTGCCTTCAGAGAAATAAGGTTTCATAGGTTAATGTTTGGCTGAAGCAAGGTACAAAATGCATATACAAGAAATCATATCACTGCGTACATGACTATATTAGATGGATAAACTTGGTTAACTAGAACTGACATATACAGCATATAAAAGTCAGATGAATCAGCTGACAGTTTGTCCTGAACTGGTTTATACCATATACACTGAAATTTCACATCTCTATTCTTAAGCATTTGATGTAAATATTAAACAAAAATAATATAGAAAAAATATATAAATTTCAAATAAATGTAAGAGCCATGAGATATGAGGGTATGCACAACTGCTTCTACATTTATTTTAAAGGACACTCTCTATTACAATGTGCTAAAAGTTATTTACTACTGTGTGTCACAGTTATTCATCCCTATAAGAAATGTGTTTCAACCGTTTAAGAATACCCTACTCACTTGCCATTTAATGCTGCTACTCCAACAGTGCTTCTGGCAATTGACATACTTGCCACAAATGTCCACTGCTGACTTTGAGGGTCCCACCTCTCAACTGTATTCAAATAACTCCAACCATCATGTCCTCCCACTGCATAAATAGGCCCTTCAAGCACTGTAACTCCTAAAATGGAGGAGAGAGTGAGAGAAGATAAAAGTATTCTTTCTCTATCAATAGTAAAAAAAAGAAGTTTTCCAAAACACAGCTAACAAACAAACTTGCATACTCAAAGTGAAAATGGAAACACAAAATTGAGATTTGATTAATTAGGATTAACAAACAGGAATAAAATTAATGCCATTCCACATGGCTTTATGAAAAATACGTCTTGTCAAAGAAACCTAATTTTATTCCTTGAGAAGATTGCTTCATAGAATAACCTGTGGATGATGTAACAGTCTTAGATTTCTGTATATTGTATCTCATAATATTCTGATCATGAATTAGCTCTTTAGAATATCAGTAAAGCACATAATAAATTAATTATAGACTGGATATCTGATAGGTCTCAAATTATTGTCAATTTAAGGGGGATTTCACTGAATGGAATTGCTTCAACCAGGGTTCCAGAGGGAAGGGATAGAAGTCTGATGTTTTCAGTATTTTTGTCAGTTATGTAGAAGAAAATACACAATTCTTCACTACCAGGAAGCTTGGTGGGCTGGCACAGAATCAAAAAATATTTTCAAAGGCTCAAATAAGTAACTTACTGTGAGAAACTTACACTGATTCATTAATTTACATTCTAAAAAAAAACCAAACAAAAGAGTGGGTACCTTCACAGGAAAATAATGTTGGATATATAAGGATTCTTTTAGCTAGTGAAGAAAAGTAAAACAAAAGATAAAACATGGAACTTGAGGTATCAAATATTTAAATAAGAAATACATTTTTACTATGATTGTTTTTAATCACGCATTCAAAGGAACTGATGGATCCTCTATCTCACAGTATGTTCAGCTAAGCTTAGAAGGTTCTGGAACGTAAGTTATAGCTAAGCACCATTTGTTACAATACAGTGAGCTCAGTAATTTCATTCTATGAATCCATGATCCCAAATGAGCATCATTCTGAAAAATCTCAGGCTAAATCCAATCCTATTCCTAAATTGATGTCTTTTTTTTCCACTCCATTTCACATGATTTGAACTCATCAGAAAGTCAGAACACAATAGATCATAAAAGTTTCAGAGAACAGGTTTATTTTTTTCTTTCAGAAAAGTCTGTCTTTCATTTAAAACAATTTAAAGTTTCATTTTCTGTGTAAAACTGTGTTTTATTCTATTTCAGAAAAGTTATTTGTTCAAAGCTTAATTTGACTTTAAAACCATATTATCAATGAGTGGGAACAAGTCTCATCTCAGTGTTCACAGAAAGTGTTCCTGCACTTTGGGTGCTGTGGTTTTTTTTTTTTTAAAACTTAAGAAAAGAATTAAAAACCCCTACTAGACCTTACTGAAATTTTCCTCTTATAAAGTCTGAGCCTTGTCTTTTTCTGTAGAACCTTCTGCGAACTCATTCTCCAAATTATTCTGGTATGAAGTCTTGTTTATAAATGCTTTTTATTCAATCACATGTTTCAGCTATAATTTTTCCAGAATAATAAAGTGAGTATTAAATTGAACTCATAATCCATATAGCTCAATATCTTATCTCAGAATGCAACCAGTAGCAAACATTTGGGAAGATGTGTCAGTGTTTGCATAGAAAATCAGGAGATAATATGTTGTAGTTGTGATATTTTTTGGTTTTGGGATTGTTTGTTTGGGTTTTTTACCCTAATATCTAGTAGTTATAAACACTCTTAAATCCTGAACAAACAGTTTTACATTGTCAAAAAAGCATTTTCTAGATTTTCTTATAATAACACTGTACTCTCTAACTTTTCATGTATATACTCTTCACTTATTACAAAGTTGAATAGAAAATCAAATTCTTGTTTGGATAAAACATTAAGTAACTTTTTGTAGAAAATTTGCTTTCCTCTTCACCAAAATATGGTTCTTCTTTCATTTTAATGGATCTTTAAGCTTTTTTTTTTTTAATGCCAGTAAAAACTGATAAGTTCATTGCATTAATGTAATGGATTTTCTCTCTGCATTTCCTGTCATGCTTTTTAACTGGTCTTTATGCAGAAAATAGCCTTCACTGACTCTTCTATAATGGATTTATACAATGAATGTAGAACCCTGTTGTCCTGGTTTCAGCCAGGATAGAGCTGGTTGTCTTCACAGAAGCTAGTGCGAGACTGTGTTTTGGATTTGGGATGAGAAACTGTTGATAATGTGTTGATGTTTTGGGTTGTTGCTGAGCAGTCAAGGACAGTCCAGCTTCTTGTGCTGGCCTGCCAGCGAGCAGGCTGGGGGTGCACAGGGAGCTGGGAGGGGACACAGCCGGAACAGCTGACCCAGACTGGCCAAAGAGATATTCCCTACCATATGACGTCATGCCCAGTACATAAACTGGAGTTGGCCGGGGGGCGGAAATCGCTGCTCGGGGACGGGCTGTCGATCACGGGGTGGTGAGCAATTGCTGTATTGGGCATCACTTGTTCTTGTACATTCCTTTGTTGGTATTATCATCGTTGTTTCCTTCTTTCTTTCTGTCCTATTAAACCGTGTTTATCTCAACCCACGAGTTTTGTTCCCAATTCTCTTCCCCGTCCCACTGCGGGAGGGGGAGTGAGCGAGCGGCTGCGTGGTGCTTAGTTGCCGGCTGGGGCTAAACCACGACACCTGTGAGATACACAATTCCATCAGATTTTTTCCCCAATGTCTTTTACATTGCATTTACCACCTGCTGTTGTGTTGTGAATTCAACTGGCTTTTAAAGTTCATCAGAGTGTACTCTGAACTTGTCTAACCTTGCTGAATAACTTCTACATCCTTTGTTACCATTATGTCCAATTCCATTTCCATATAAATTAATCTTACATTGACACAGGGAAATGTTGTAGTTAGAAAACTGACAAAATAAAAATGTTAGTTTGGTATGAGATTCATGTCATGTTCATCTGCCAAAAGGTGTGAATATGGTTACAGCTACACCAATGAAGAAATACGGAAGTTTATTTTGCTTGGAGAACTTTAAGGGATTCAGTACAAGATTGCCTGTTTGAGTTATCCAGTTTGCATTCTTTCTATAATAGGAAAATCTACAGGCAAAGCAATAGGAAAATTATTCTTTCCATACATGACAAAGACAGAAGGAATTCTGTACAAAAATAATCTTCCATCCTGCTGATTATCACCCGTACTAGCTTGCTATGGTTTTACAAGTTTAATGTCTCTTCTTTATGGAATAACAAAAGCATTGACAACCTTACATTTACTTCTTAAGAGCTGGTCCAGTTCTGGCCCACTATATTTTAAAATACTGGACAAATACATTCTGCAGTATTGAATTTCTTTCTGTTTTTGTGTAGTTATGACTATATATGTGAAGGAAAATAATGATTTTGGACTATGTATATTCAAAATATTAATGTTCAAAGTCCAGTTCTCTAATAAGTAAATAAGAAAAAAAACCAAATAAGGTGCTGCATTCATGAAAGTAATATTATGTATAATTTAAGTTTTTGTCTCCTTTTATTTTTTTAATTTTGCTTTGATATTTGTAGATATCTGAGAAGCATAAATGCAAAGTGGAAGAGATAGAGAAACCTGTAGTCATGGTAGTGGCTGGTGATGAGTTCCTCTAATGGTACACCCATGAAAACTAATGGATGCAGATGTTGTAAATGTTAGCATCGTAAATAGGATCTTCAGAAAGAATTACAAAAGAACTATTAAAAATCTGGAAAACCTGCTGGAAATTCCATAAGAGATCTAGGGCTTATCAACATATCTTTTCCAAGAGTTAAGCTGATCATAGTGTATAAGTACTTGCATAAAGATTGTGTGGCTAAGAGTCTAACTGTAGGAGGACTAAAAAGATCCAATGACTGGAATTAGTAACCTATTAAATTAAGCCTAAGAATAATAGCCCATTTTTTAACCGATGATGATCTTTTTAACCAAGGGTTTATTGGAATTATGAATTTAGGAACGTGCTAGTTTCAGTGTTGCTTGAAGTTTGTATATCTACACTGATACATTTTTAGATAGACATGCTCAGACTCCTTCAAATGGCATGTCCTCAAGGCAGAAATGATTGGGAGAAATTCTGTGTTCCTCTTACAGAAAGTCGGTCTACATGATCACAGCAGTAGCTTCAGGCCATAAAATCTATGAGTCTATATAAATTTGCTAAATTTGGGCATGGATATCACAGTCTCTTCAGCTTTGGTATAGACTCTGTCTCTCTGAGTATTTGTTGTGGATGGAATCTCCCTTCTCTTCTCTTCCCAAATAAACAGCTCTGAAGGCTGGGCTAGACAAACCTGTCAAACTGACAATTGCAGGTCTATCATTGATGACAGGTTGAAACTACAGAAATGTAAGATTTAGCACATAATTTAATATATCATGACATAGAGAGTGAGATGCTTTGTGGAACAGCCATGTCTGTGGGAAAAACAGCTAGGCATCTATAGTTAATATAATTGCATAATATTTTTTTTTCTTTCTTGTTGCTTAACAATAACTCCACCATTTCTCTTCTACTCTTCATTCATGCACTCTCCTTCCCACTCCAGTGGGAACACATTCAAGGAGTGAGAGCTGGCACTCAGTTATCACAATTATCAGCACCTTATTCTTCCTCTTACTTTTCCTCTCCTCCATTTTGTATTAATATGTCATATACTAAGAATAGTGCCTGCAGAAAGATCTAAGGAGATCTATCCCAGAGCTTCATGGCTCCCCTGAAAGGGTGGATATCACATTTTCAGTGTAATAATTTCCTGACTTGGTCAATCTTTGGAACCTAAATATCTCACTGTCCAGGTAATGAACTTGATTACTAATATAGGAAAACTTAGTGACTCACAGTGGCAGCTCTAATGCTTCCGAAGAAAAAAATTCTAATTTAATCCCAAGCATCTTTATGTGAGTCAAATAAATAAATTAATGAGTATGCACCTTGCAATACTGGTAAATCAAGTACTTTTGATTGTATTTTTCAACATTCTGGGAGCAGCTAAAGTCATGTTTTCAATAAATTTTCCAATTTTTTTTAGATGCT